ATACGGAAGTGTAGTACCACCGTTTGGCCACAACGAATATTTTCTCAGAGTCCGGCGCACTTCCTGGGGGCTTGACTTATTCCGGTGTGAACACGATCTGCTCTTTAGTTCTGGGAACTAAAGAGCTCCGATGAACTAAGTACTGGGAACTAAATACGGCAAAGTACTTGGTGTGAAAGCGACTAAGGTGTTATTATAAAAAAAACATAATGCTTATTCATGAGGTTAAATTATTGAATAGCATTGGTTAAATGTTAATCTGAAATATCCATTCATTCTAGTCTACAAACTATTCAGAAAACAGTTTATTTTTTAATATCGTCCCCCTAAAAGTGTTATCTTTAGCAGCTAGGTTACATCTTGTCATGCTACAGATGACTTGTTTGTATTAACTGGTTTTGATGGGACAGACAGTTGTTAGCTAAGGGCATTGAGAATGTTTAAATTATACAATATAGTAAATCTACTTTTCGAAAAGATTAATCAAATACTTTACACACAAAGAGTTGCTTCATCTCAATCTTGAAATCCAAACATCCAGTAACAATGTTTTGACCCCCAAGAGCAGAAATTATAATGTACCCCCTGCCTCAGTGTCATTGTCCTCTCCTGCAGGTCTCAGAGCAAGAGGCGAGAGGATGGAGCGGCAAGGACACAAAATCCAGAGGTGGGAGAAGTACTCAGACCTTTTACTTATGTAAAGTAGAAGTACCAGAGTGTAGGAATACTCTGTTACAAGTAAAAGTCCTGCATTCAAAAGGCTACTCAAGTACAAAAGTATTAGCATCAAAATAAAAAGTGCCAAAAGTAAAAGTACTCATTATACAGATTGGTCCATTTCAGAATAATATATACAGTATCAGGTGTTTTGATTATAATTATTAATGCATTAAAGGTCTATCAAAGCTGGTAAAGGTGTAGCTAGTTTTAATTACTTTGCATTCGGCTGGGTAACTAAAGTCTTATTTAGGTGTTGATTATATTTCACATCATTCAAAAACATCTGCAAAGTAACTAAAGGTAAAACATAAATGGAGTGGAGTAAAAGTATACAATCTACCTCAGCATAAAGTAGCATAAAATGGGAATACTCATGTAAAGTACAACTACCTCAAACTTAATTTACTTAGTTACTTCCCACCCTTTGAAATCTGAATACATTAAAACAGTTCACATAAAAATAATAAGGAAAGATCTAAAAGCCTATTTGTCTAGAATGTTAGTACAACACAGTAACTGCATAGCATGATATTTAAAACACTGTAATGTACAATATTGATAGGGAAAAAGAGTGGAATATGTAAATTAGTGTTCATTTATGAAGACCGTTTACATTTACATTTGTATATGGGCATCTAGTTTGTTAGCATACAGTATGAGAGAAAACGATTTATTAAAAAAATGAATCTAATTGCCATTATTTTGATTGATATTGCAATTGTGATAAGATTAACTGTTTTATGGAGAATAATCATAATTGTGACTTTTGCCGGGATCTTCGGCACCAAACAGAGATGTATTATTTTGTCTGTAGAATATTGTATATTGGCCTTGATATATAATAATAAATAAATAATAATGCATTTTATTTGGCGCCTTTCAAAGCTCTCAAGGACACCTTACAGAGCATAATTAAAAACAAGCAACAAAGAAGGTCAAACAGTAATTCGAGACTTAAAAAAACAAAGACTTAAAAACAACAATCAGTTAAGAGGAATTATGATATTGAATACGCCAGTTTAAAAAGGTGGGTTTTCAGGCAGGATTTGGTTGAGAGTGAGTGAGTGGTTAACATATGCATGTTATGTTGCTGATCGCTTATAATCTACCTGTTTACAATTATAAAAGTAGTCGTACCAGTGTGGAAGAACTGTTTAGTACATTCCTCACAGCATCTTATTCTGAAGTCCTTTTGTGGTAGTTTCATGGCATGCCTACAACTCTCTCGACATCATAAATAAATTAGTTGAATGTCAAGGCAAATGCTGAACGCTTGTACAGAGAAACCCAGAAGCCAAGGATGGAGGGACCACACTATATTAGTTGTGACAATGACAGATCCAAACCCCTGGAACAGCCTTCAATGGATTTGACATGGTCCTATCTAGCCAGATCTGTCAAACTGCTCTTGAACTTTCCTTTCTAATATTTTGCGGTAAAGGAACACAGTCGAGCCTCCAGCAGCTCCTGCATGGGTTTGAAGTAATGTGCTTTACCCTGACAGTGAAGATAAAGAGCTGGGGGTGAGGGTGAGGAGGAAAAACAACAACTCTGAGGTCTCCGGAGAGCGTACTCTGAATGTGAAGGTTAGCTCTGCAGTTGTATGCCAATATAAGATTCAAGTATCCCAGAAAGACAGTCGAGGATTCATTTACACAATGAGCATCACATTGAGAAGATTTTGACCTTATTATTCCCTCATAAACTCTCTAAATGAACTGGCAAGGCTAAATGCATTTTACTTCATTTGCATCATTGACTTCATAGTTGTTGGCAATTTTAGGCAAAGCCTAGGGTATTTTAACAACCCGTTAACTGTGCGCCAGTCATGCATGGTTTATACGAGTTCTTTTTAAAACCACAATAAACATTAAAAGGCTGATTATACCAGCATTTCAGTGGAATTATGAATATTCAGCTTTTCAAGTGGCGTTTGATCGATAGTAACGATCTATTTGAGAACAGCTGTGTTATCTTTTCTCAATGGCATTCTTATTTATGTCTTATCGACTCTAAAACTAAAAATATAAACCCATTGTTCCTTGGTAATGTCTTTAATATGCTGGCATTACAGATGTTGGTCTGACTGATTGCAGGGTTCTTTATCCAATAAGTGAAATTCCCTCGGTGCAATAAAGTAATTGATGGCATTCAGAGTGCTAGACTGAACCCAAGTGCAAATTAGAGACATGGTCGAAATCTGGAGGTTTTCCATGTAACGCAAATATTTGCATCACAAGGAGTTGGCATAACATCCTCTGATCAGCTGATTAACATAGTGAGGAGAATCTTCAAAGGGGGAAACTTTCTGCTTCGGGGGTTGAGCTCAAAGTTATAGGTTATAAGCTGCAATATTGACTGTCTCTGAGGGCATGTTGTGCTCAGCAGCAGGAAAATGGGACACTCCACTGTTGATTATAACGAAGTGGGGGGGGGGGAAATGCAAAAAGCTTACTTTTGGAAGTGGAAAAAAGGAGAAGCGGCCTCTTTTTGACAGAGCTCATTATCTTCTCTGGAGGTGCTTGAGGTTTTAAAAAGCCACGGCGGCTCCAGAGAGAGGAGCGGTATTGGAGATGGAATATCCACAGAGTGCTGAATGAGATTTGTGATGCGATGAGCTCTATACTGTGGGGAACCATTTCTTAATTATTCCTCTAGGACAGACATTTCCCCTCCTCTCCTCAGCTATAAAACACCCTCCATATGGCACCTTTGGCAAAGGGCATGATTCTGCTCCTCAACAGGCGGGCATTAGGGGTGAGCATGGCCATCTGAAATGTGCTGACACTTGACTTTCTGGAACGGTTAACGGGCTGGAGGTAATGGGAGGAGCGCTGTAGAGGAAATGCAAAATATTTTATTTCCTTGCAACAGATGCTACTTCCATGCTCTTAATCATATACTGTTAGGTAATGTTAGTCTCCCTCTATAGGGTGAACTGAGGAATAAAAGGAGGCTGTTTAAGTGAAGCAATGTAAAAGTAAAAAGGCTTTTGGATGCCCTGCCGCAGTCCGTTTTGTGGAATGGGACTGATGCCAGACACTCTTCTCTCTCTCTCTTTCTGATACTACTCAGCACTGCAGCACTGTAGCAAGAGGATGGATCTTTCACTTAATGTGTGTGTGTGTGTGTGTGTGTGTGTGTGTGTGTGTGTGTGTGTGTGTGTGTGTGTGTTTGTGTGTGTGTG